AAAGGTCATGTAAATTGAAAAATACACTTTTTGTATCTTCCCCATTAGAAAAGTAGACATACACATATGTGATAGAAATGCTTTACGATTCCTTGTGACAAAGCTTTTCTCCAAAGCTTCATCCCAAAGTCCACTGTTTGGGGCTGAATTGTGTCCCCCCAAAATGTATATGTTGAAGTCCTAACCTCTGGAACTTCACAATGTGACTATGTTTAGGATAGGGACTTTAAAAAAATAAAGAAGTTAAAGCCACTAATGTGGGCCCTAATCCAATGTGACCCATATCCTTATAAGAAGAAGAACTTAGGACACACACAGAGACACAGACAGGGGCATGCACTGAGGAAAGGCCATGTGAAGACAGCCAGAAGGCAGCCACCTACAAGCCAAGGAGAGAGGCCTCAGAAGCACCAAACTGCCAACACCTTGATTTTATACTTCTCCAGCACTGTGAGAAAGTAAACTTCTGTCGCTGAAGCCCACCCAATCTATTTTTTTTTTTAGTTCTTTTTCTCACTTATAAATCCAACAATTTTCAGAACAATTTCCTTAATTTTTCAAAGCATTCAATTTGATTTGCATGAAAACTCTTTCCCGTCCATTTTTCATCAGTTGTTCTTTTAATTTTTAATTACGTAATCACAATAGTACTGGCGTAAATAGATCCAAACTATCTATCTTTAGCAAAGAAAAAACTCAACTGTTTGGGTGTTTACAGCCCCACCGCGAGGCCGCCATTGCTCTCTAACGCTATGCCAGCTCCGCCTCTAGCTGGCCAAGCTCCAGCGGAAGGAGAAGAGGGTCGAGTGACAAGGTCTCAATACCATGCCTGCAAATCGACCGCAGACTGCAAAAGCCGCTTGCAAGAGAGTGCGCCCTCTACTGGAGGAGGAAGACACTTCATGGTAAGTTGGCACTGTGAAATTAAATATTTTCACAAGTCCACTGAACTTCGGATTCCCAAACTCCTCTTCCAGGGTCTGGTGCGAGAAATTACTCAAGACTTCCAAACACATCTACGCTCCCAGAGTGCAACTCTTTGTGCTTTTCAGGAGGCAAATGAGTTCTATCTGGCTGGCTTTTTTGAAGACACTAACCTGTGTGCTGTCCATCCCAAATGTGTAACAATTATGCCAAAAGACATCCAGCTAGCACCACATTCGTGGACAACGTGCTTAAGATTCCACTATGATGGAAAACATTTCATTCTCAAAACTAATTAGTTTTCCTCTTCTTCCTGTTATTGGTGGTTCAGAACGTTAGATTTTTTTTTTTTTTCTTGTGGGTCCAAAAGGTACCTATGTATATGATTGTGAGTGGAAATATAGGGGAAAGAAATCAGGTATTGGCAGTTTTTCCATTTTCATTTGTGTGTGGATTTTTAATATAAATGCGGGGATATAAAGCATTAATGCAAGTCGAAATATTTCAGTGAAAAGTTTCAGCAGTTCAACTTTATAATAATTATAAATAAACATAAAATTTTTCTGGACAATGCCAGCATTTGGATTTTTTTAAAAAACAAGTAAATTTCTTATTCACAGCTGAATGTTGTTTGTAGCATTTTTATCACACAGATTCCATCCCTTCACTATACTTTTCTGAGTTGTCCTGCATGCAAGTACATGTTTTTAATGTTGTCTTTCTGTGCTGTGCCTATAAATTTCCAATTAAAATACATAAAGGGGAGAGGGGAGAGGGAGAGATAAAAAGGAAGAGTTGGTAAAGGGACAAAAAATTCATCTGCATTGTATACTGATAAATTTTAAAATTTTAAAACATAAAATTAAATTTTAAACCTTGAAAAATTAAAAATTAAATACATTAAATAATTTTTTAAAATATTCTATTGCTTGGTGCCATATGGATTCAGTATGCCTGGGTACCAGTCAAGATATCTTACTAGGAGAGTACAGAGCCTCCTTTATTCATAGACTCAGAGCTTTATTAAAACAACTTCTACTCTAAAAGGTGAAATTTATTGTGACAGATCAAGCAAACTAATATGCCACCAAAATTTCAGACGTGTTTATCCTACAGCTGATAAGCATGCTTTATTTGTAGATGTTTTTGAGCATGCAGAGATAAGCATTTGGTTCTCATCCCCCCAAAAGATAAATACCCACTCCATTGGAAATTACCCCAAAGTTCTGAAGTGTGTTGATAAAGAATAAAGAAATGATGAAATGATTTTGAGGGTAACAAGTCAGCACTGACGCTGCAGAAGAATGGAAGGGGAGCTTAAGCAACCAGGCACTCGTATTAGTATATATGCCTGGGCCACCGTGGCATGACCATACGGGGCAACAATAGAGCATTGCTTCCCTGCATCTCCCTGGAACGCATTGATCCAGTTGATGAAGCACTACATACTGACAACAAAACACTTACAACCCCTCATGCAGAGCAGGACAAAACTACCTGCGAGTATGGGTCACTGGACATGCCAGCTGAGAGTGAGCAGAGGTGAAGGCAGGGAGAGAGAAGCTGACTAACCCAAGCACAGGTAGCATGGACCTTCTCCCCCTCCTTGTTACTTACTCATTGGTCCACTTCACTTGTTGAAGGGACCAATGAGAGATCTGTTGGATCCAATCCATGCTCATTTGTAATTTTTCTCTGTATTGTTTTCTTGGTGACATCCCAAATTCAAGGTTTGATTTCACCTTATTCCTCATATTAAAACAATACTTATCACCTGTATAGCTTCCTAACCATGAATCTGAAATGTGTCATGATATTCACTTTGACCAAGAGGGCTTTGGTGAAAATGAACACACCAATGGTTTTAAAAGGGCTTGTACTGTGGACCAGGTTATTTCCTGCTACTCTTGGGATCTTCTCCGACATGTAGAAGCCCAGGCCTGCTTTCTGGATGATGAGCAACTGCACAGAAGAGAAACAACTCATCCCAGCTAAACACAAGAGAGCCAGCCCCGACATGACCCAGCTCATGCATGGGAGGATGCAGCACAGATCTGTGGACAAGAGCAGAGGAGACTCTCAGGTGAGCCAGCCCAAATTATCAACTGCAGAATCACAGGCGGAACTAGTGGTTGCTGCAGGCCACTAATTCTGGTGTAATTTATTAGGCATCAATAGATAATTATACAGAAACTGGTATAGACATCAAGGGACTATCATCATAAAACCCTAAATCTTCTGGTATTGGATTTAAAAATGGGAAAGGTACAGACAGAAAAACCAGAGAGAAAACTGTTAGAAGAGACTGGAAAACAGGCAACAAATACATGAATAGAAGCTGGAATAGCAATGAGACAAGAGCTATAGCAAACTGAGAAAATGTAATGTATGTTATATAGACATGCGTCAATTCTTAAAACTCTTTTTTTTTTTTTTTGTCTTTTTCGTGACCGGTAAGGGGATCGCAACCCTTGGTGTGGTGTCGCCCACACCGTGCTCAGCCAGTGAACGCACCGGCCATTCCTATATAGGATCCAAACCTGTGGCAGGAGCATCGCTGCGCTCCCAGCGACGCCCTCTCCCGAGTGCACCTCGGGGCCGGCCCAATTCATAAAACTTTTACCTAAAATAACTTAGAGGACAGAAAATATAGCTAATGAAACTGTCACCTAGGCAATATGACTTTAAGGAAGAATGCTGAAAAGGTCAATTGACTTTTCTTAGCTGCCTATAAAAAAATTTAGAGGTTGACCAGTAGACACTCTCAGCTAGACTTAAGGTCATATAAGAATTTTAATGACATAGTTCCACAGTACAGTATCCTTAAATGCCCAAAAGGTAGAGAATGCTGTATTGCCAAAAACAAACTAGGAGTGTATCTTTTTTTCTAATAGAGAAAAATAAAATTTTGGATCACATGGCCAGTATGGAGATCTGAACCCTTGATCTTGGTGTTATCAGCACCATGTTGTAACCAAGTGAGCTCTGGCCAGCCCAAGAGAATAATGTGATAGTAAAAAAGCCACGAAGTATTAAGGCAAAAAGGCCGTCATTTGGGGATAAATGAGAGACTAATGCTCACATTGCAAAAGCCTTCCTAGCCCCCAGATTTTAAAGAACAGGAAGCAGTCTGAGACATGCACTCATGATCTGGCAATATAGATCATCTCTCAGAAAAGAAGGACTTCTTACACAGTGGAGCCAAGAGGCTTGATGGCAGAACCAAGGACACTGGGGAACAATGGACTGAGAAGCCAATCCCAAAGAGCTGAAAGGATCCCTAATCAGAGCACCATCCCCACCGTCTCGGTTGGTGGCTTGGCAATGTGTGCCCAGCTGCATTTCATTATTGCAGTGGAGCAGTGATTGCTAAGTACTTCCCATTCTATCACCTTTTTGCCTCCATTTTTTTGTTACACTTTAAAATAAATACAAAAAGCCACAGTCCCCAAAAATGTATAAATTAATAAAATATTTCAGGGCAAACTCCCTTGTAACCATTATCCTGGTCAAAAACTAGAACTTTTCCTAAAACAAAAGCCCCTCCATGTCTCCTAATCAAAGCCCCACCATCATTCTAAAAGTATCCTGACAATTCAACTGATCATTGCGACCATTTTCTTGCAGATTTTAAGGCTTTGTAACACAAGTGTTCACTCCTAAACACTACACTATAGTCTTCTTTGCTTTTTAACTTGATTTATCTTTTAAGTCTCCTTCAATCTACAAAAGCTCCCTACATTCCTTTCCTTTACCAAAAAAAAAGGAAATGCTAGAATAAACCCTGTGGTGTTTAGTTGGGGTGAGAGATATCAGTATGAACTGATATCTCTACGTGTGACAGAGAGAGCTGAGAGTTGATCTACAGGTAGGTAGATATATAGATATAAATAGATAGATAAATGTGGATGTGTATACACACAGGTTAATATGAATACGTCTATTTCCTATCTCTGTCCACTGAGAGAACCTAGAAGTAGTGGCATTTCATTAATAATGAACTGACACATCACCTGAATTTTAGTATCTAAATACCATTCTCCAATAAATGAAATTAGGACTCCCTGGAAAAGCGGTGTATTCATTGCTGGGGCAGAGAATACCTGAGATGGGCCTGAAGTATCCTGCGGTATGAAAAAGTGAGGAGGCACTCAAAAAATTGGGGACTTGTCAAAAAGACACAGGAGCCAAACCGAAATATCTTCCAATGGCAGAATCTGAAACAATTTGAGCAACAAAATAAACAATGATCATACTAGATTATAACCCATAGAATAAAATAATACCTGTGAGTCCATACGGATAAAAATAAATGATTTAATAGATAATTATACAACAGACAACTCTTTCGGACAAAAGAATTATAATTAATGAATGAATACAGAAGAAGAGAAATAGAAAATCACCATTAAATACCACAGTAATAATTGCTACAGTCAAGATTCACTAATAAATGCTAAAATTGGTAGGTCAAAGATTGAGGAAACAGGACATTCGTATAGTCTCAAAGCATTTCCCCCCAAATGTTTATTAACTGCAAAAGGAAAAATTAGTAATTTTACAATGAAGAAACCTGGCAGGCTTATCTAAGTGATCAAGGATACCAATGGTAGTTAGACAATGAGTCACATGTAATCCCAACTAAGGGATTATTATTAGTCACATGTAATCCTAATAAGGGCACATTATCTCTTCCTAAAAATTCACAATCCCAGTTTAATTGTGAAAAATCATGACACAAACCCACACTGAGTGGCATTTTGTAAAATACCTATCTAGTTCTCTTTAAAAGTGTTGAAGAACTTAACAGTAAAATACCAGTAACCCAAATAAAAAAATGGGCCAAGAAGCTGAATAGATCCTTCTCAAAGGAAGGCATACAAATAGCCAACAGACACATGAAAAAAATGCTCAGAATCACTAAGAATCAGGGAAACACAAATAAAAACCATGTTGAGGTATCATCTCACTGCAGTTAGACTGGCTATAGTCAAAAAGACAGAGAATAGCAAAGGCTGGTGAGGATGCAGAGAAAAGGGAACCCGCCTACACTGTTGTTGGGTCTATAAATTAGTGCAGCTGTTATGGAAAACAGTATGGAGTTTCCTCAAACAACTATAGATAGAATGGTCATACCATCTGGCAATCCCAGTACTGGGTATATACCCAAAGGAATGGAAATCGTCATGTCAAAGAGATACCTGTACTCCCATGTTTATTGCAGCTCTATTTACAGTAGCCAAGAGTTGAAAAAAAGTCAATGTCCATTGACAGACAAGGGGGAACTACTGTATTTTTTATTAAAATGTAGCATTTTATTAAAGCCTTATAACAAATCTTTGAAGAAAATAGTGTTATCATTCCATTCTGATAAAACCAATTAATTTATCTAAGCCTACGCTGTATTTTTATTTAAAAGTAGCATTTTATTGAAACTTTATAACAGATCTTTGAAGAAAATAGTGTTATCATTCCATTCTGATAAAACCAATTAATTTGTCTAACCATATGCCTGCTGTACACTGGGGGGCCAAGGTTAAAACTCCAAGGTGAAAGTCATATAAATCATTTTTATATGATTCTCAGAGGTTTTCTGCTTTTGTTTTTATTTTTGTGGCTCTGTATACTGCTTCATGCCTTCCATGAGCATGACTTCCATGTTGCAAAATTTAGAGGTTGACCCAGAAACAAGTTTCAGGCTAGACAGAAAATTGTCAAGGAGCTGGTTAGACTACAGGTGTGGTAAGATGTGTCGGGCCGACCATATCCTTTCCTTAGGTCCATGGACAGAAGTGGAGGGAAGAGCCTGCAAATAGAGGAGGAAATCTTTATCCTCATAGCCAACCCCACAGTAACAGAAGCAACAAGACCCATATCAGATGACCAAAAATCAAAAAAAAAAAATACTAGAACTACAAACAAACAAGAAGATATGACACCACCGAAGGAACACAGTAATGCTCAAATGCCCGACCCCACAGAACAGGCAAAAGTCTGAAAAGGAATTCCAAGCAATGATCTTAAGAAAGCTCAAAGAAAAAAAAAGAAGACAATTAGAGAACACAAAGGAAACAAGAAAAAATATCCAGAATATGAAGGAAATTTGCAAAGAGATTAATACCTTAAAAAAGTGTGTGGCACAACTCCTAGAAATGAAAGATTCACTCAATGAAATAAAAAACACAACAAAGAGTTTGAGCAGCAGTCTACAGCAAGCAGAAGAAACAATTTCAGATCTCAAAGACGGTCTTTTCAAAATAACCCAGGCAGACAATAAAATGGAAAAAAGGAATTTAAAATAATGAAGATAAGCTAATAAAGATAGCAGACAACCTCAAGCACTCTAACATCTGATTTGTGGGTACTCCAGAAGGAGAGGAAAAAAGAAAAGATATTGAAAACCTATTCAAAGAACTAATAACAGAAAACTTCCCAGGTGTAAGAACAGATGCCGACCTTCAGACCCAGGAAGCTCAAAGGTCCCCAAACAGATTCAATCCAAAAAGATCCTCTCCAAGACACATTACAGTTAAATTCACAAAGCTCAAAGACAAAGAGAGATTCCAAAAGCAGGAAGAGAAAAGCATCAAGTCACCTATAAGGGAACTCCCCATCAGACTGACAGCTGACTTTTCAGTTGAGACCCTACAGGCCAGTAGAAAATGGAATGCTATATTCAAAACACTAAAACAAAAAACTGTCAGCCAAGAATTCTATGCCCAGCAAATCTCTCCATCAGAAGTGAGAGAGAAATAGTGTATTTCCCAGAAAAACAAAAGTTGTGGGAGTTCACCATCACAACCAGCCCTGCAAGAAATTCTCAAGGGCATTCTGCATCTGGAATCTGAATAATGATGATCACTATCACAGATACACAAGAAAGAGTAAAACCTGCCATCAAAACAAATCTGCCAGTGAAAAAGAGAAAGAAGCGAAATCATGCCACCTCAAATTTCCAACTAACATTGAAGAAGAAAACTAAAGGGGAAGTAATAATCAAAAGATAATTAAAACATCTAAACAAAAAGGACTTAAATGACAGGAAATAAATAATACATGTCAATAACTACCATAAATGTGAAT